TGCACATCAGCAGCCCTTGCAGCTAGAAACAATCAATACATCACATAATTTCTAAGCCTTGTTATCTAACCCAAATGCTCTGATTCACAGTAACGTGGGACATAATAGCTCTCAGGACACCTCTGAACAGACTTGAGGTAATACACAACTCATACAGTCCTAACCGGATCAAGCAAGGCTCTCCAAACTTTTTTCCCATTAGGAAATTTGATTAAATTTTCCAGACATCCCCAATTTCTTGAGTGCTGCACGCTTCCGAGCCTCTCACATATCAACAGAAGAGTCAAGGAGTTTCACAGCCTTCCCACCATCCAAAATTGAGATGCTAGCTCAGGAAGGGAGAATTCTACATAACCACTTTGGTCCCTTCAGAACTTGGGGAACACCACCTGAGGAATCAAAGCCAACTAGGGAATAACACTTCAAATGTTGTCCAGGCTGCTAATGAATGGGAAATCTCCCATCTGACAGCTTTGTAGGAATAGTGGCAGTCTTTACTCACTTCAGCACTAACATAGCAGCTGACACAAGTTATCTTCATAGGTCTGTGCCATGTCATCCCCAAGGTAGCACTAGCTAAGCCAGCCTTGGAGCCACAAGAATTAATATAACTTCGGTGCAGTGCTGTGCTTAGGTTAATTAGCTCTGCTTAGAGAAGGGGAGGGAGGGGAGCTAATAAGCAAGGGCATGCTGCCAGGCTAATGTGATTATACTCTATCCAGGACCCCAGCTAGGATCTCTGCACTGAACTCCTTGCACACGTTCACTTGGAGCCAGTTCAGAAAACTGCAAAGCACAACAGCCTAAAGACACACAAAAGGTGATTTCTTCAACAGTTTCAGATGCTTTGAGGAAAAGGAGAAAGAACAAAGGAGGCACACAGTAGCCTAGATCATGGCCATACCCTCCCAGCTTCTGACAAAAGCAGATGAGGGTTATGCACTGCCACAATTTAAAGCTGCACGTGGGCATTCAATAATACTTCAAAGGTTTTCCTTGTGTGAATTTCTTTAAATATTCTGAAGTTCATTAAACTTGGGGCCTTTTCAGTGCCCTTGTGGCAGCAGCTCTAAAGTTTAATTACTTACCAGAATAAAAAAATCCTTTCTTAAACCTTCTGCCTACTAAGACCCTGTAGTGCTGGTCCGCAGGTAAGGGCAAAGACTGACTATGCCCAGGAGATGGATCCCCAGCTCCCTCTATAGCACTGAGGCACAGTAGTGCTATGGAAAGGACCTTGTGAGATCACAGGTTCAAAGGGTTCAAACCCTCCCCTAATGTGAGTCTTTCACTTCTTCCTTGACAAATACTGGTCCAACATTTGCTTTGTCCTCCAACATAGACTGTATGTTCCATGTATTATGCTTCAGCCTTTACAATCACTATTTTTTTACCAATTTCCAGCATCAAAATCCTCTCTGATGAGTTCAGGCCAATGACAGCAAGATCAGGACCAACAGCCTCTCCCTGCTTCGATCCAATGAGCATGGCTGCAGTAAGCAGCACAACCACCACTCCCAAAAGCCTCAAGGTTACAGAGCCAATTGGGGAGGATGAGTGTGCATGTTTGTTTGTGGTGACTTGACATAAATATTAATCCAATTGAGCTTCAGGATTAGAGATGGAAATTAACAGGGCAACCTGCACCAAGAAGGAAAATAACTTGCACATCAGCCTAGTTTGCTCATCTCCTGGCCCAAAACACTCTCCTCTTGTGAGCCACAGTTAATGTAGATTGTGTGGCAATGTAGATTGTTTGCAGTCAATGAAAAACTTACATGCTAAGGTTTGAACTGATCCAAGAATATCTGAAAGGGGCCTCAAGCCTCTACTCTTGCTTATGGACCTCCTCTGCCATTACCCTGCACCAGCTCTGGCACTTGCTGGAATGTGCAGCAATTCAGCCTACTGATCTAGCAGAAAACAAAACTAAGCCAGAAGAGAGAGATCTGCTCAGCAGAGAAGCATGAGGAGTAGTGCACCAGAGTGAAACGGCACAGCTGGGAGTAGAGGCAGGGAGCACTGGTGAAAACAGGTGTGTGAGGCTTCCCCTCTTGTCAGAGCTGTGAGGTTCACTTACAAAATGCTACTCTATATCAAGACGTTGGGAAATTTTTTTATCAGATGCCTTTGGGACGGACTGGTAATATCTTCTTATCATATAAATGTTAAAAAAAAATGACAACAGTTAAGGGTGCAAATATATTATTAGCTAGACACTAGCTCAGAGACAGGAGTCATCTCCTGAGCTTGCTCTTGTCTCTGCTGTTTGACTGCAGGCAAATCATTTAGGGCAAAACATACTCTGCAATGCAGGACAGAACTTCTAACTTTGCCACTGGGACTGGAAATAAGACAGCCATTTCAGAGTGCCAGAGCTAACGAGCTATTCTGACTCAGAGCTTTTTAGGGATGGCACAGAGCCATGAAGGCTGTGCCACTTCAGTGCCTGAGCTGGTAGGAGTGCTCTGTGTCGCACGGGACTCTCCACTTGTACTCAGGAACCTTGGCACTACACTGATTTGGAGGGTTTAACTTCTGTCTCCAATATCTTCATGGTTCCTATCAACCCGTCAATCCTGTATGGCCTCCCTGCCTCGCAGAACCAGCGTGGCACGAAGTTCAGGTGTCTCCTACAGGAGGACATGGGATTTGTCCGAATGAATCTAATCAAGAGTGAAAGATGGGACCAAATCACGTCCTATTTACTGAGACAAGACTGCAGTTGAAGCCAACAGACAGCACACGTTGTTTTATTCCCCTTCTCAGAAACCCTGTTTGTACAAGAGAAGAACAAGTTGGCTTGGCAGAAAAAAAGATCAGTTTGAAACTTCACTACAAGCTCTCTCCCAAACCTTGTCTTGAAGGTTACACAAAGTAAAGTATCTAGCTATTCCCTTCTGTCCTGTTATTATCTTCATTTCTGCCACTCCTCTCCCTCCCTGCTGCCTCCCTTTGGCTACTCCTACAACAGCTGATAAAATCTCTGCAGCCAGAGCTGCTGCTGAGGTGAGATGCAGAGCCCTGTCTGCAACCTGAAGGTGTACTCAGCAGCAGCCTCCAAGCTGTTCCGTGCTTCTCCCAGTCGACCCTGCCAACTTGTTGAGATTCTTTGCTTATAATATGCTTCAACAGCCACGTTGTCCCATGAGGACTGAACTAAATTGAGTTGCAGGGCTGCAAATCACGAAGCGGCCTCATTTTAATCATGGCTATTCAAGTGCTAAGGAATGCAGAAAGTAAATACATATTTGTTTTTAGACCATCATTTGTCCCATTTGCAAGAGGAAATTGAATGTACTCAGTCCCCGAGGCTTTGTTCTTAAGAGAATACCTTGCAAAATGAACCTGCTATAAACCACTACACATGAAATATATCCTTTGTTAAACCCTCTATCCACTGCTTTTGTCAAAAAGCTCCTCTCCCGAATCTATTAACCCTCTTATTCACATCTCCACAATCTAATCAGGCTTTATTTAACATTTCACACTTCTGCCACCCCAGCTGCAGTCCCCGCTGGCTTTCTGGTGACTGTTTTCCCTGAGCACTGACTAGAATCAAACATCTACGGACGAGTTCTGCCCTTGTCTCCAGACCTGGCTGGGGGAAAAATTGCAGTGCGTTGTCCTGCAGGTGTAAACTTGGCTGCAGCTCGGTTGACCAGGTGGCTGGATTTGCAAATCAGTCCTTGACTTCTATGCTACTTCAAACAAATTTCAATAAATACTCTGCACACACAGATTTTGATCAGCTTGCATTCCTAGTGCTGCAGTGTCCTTCTCTTTGGCATGCCTTCCTCTCAATTAGCCTTAGTCCAGCCAATCTGGAACACAGAAGCAAGAAGTAACCCAGTCCTCCACACATCTTCAAATGGACCTTCTGTTTTAGCTCTAGCTGTGGTTTCAGATATTCCCTATCCTCACAGCATGATTCAGCCTCTGGACTTTGCTTTCAGTCTCTGCTCTACTGCAAGGTCCTCCTGCAGCCCAGCACTGTAATCCCAGTGTCTCAAACTTGTTCTAGCCCATCTTGCCATCCTTTCTCTCACCTCCTTCCAAGCAAAAGCTTCAAACTCACCCTTCTTAAGCCAGTGCATGCCAGCCATACTTCACATGATTGAACAATAGCTACCTAGTTTAATCAACAAGAAGCAATGTCAGAATAGGACTAGCACCTCATTCTTCCTCTTCTTAAGTCTTCAGACCAAATGTACCCGCGTAACCCTGACCACAACAGCCTTGAGCCCTCCAAGCCCTTACTCTTAGTTACACACAATCATTTTTAACAAGTTCTCCTGTTTTGTGGAGGTGCTGGTTCAGCCAGAACTTGAGGCAGAAGCCCTGCTCACCTGTGTCCTAGAAGGAAAAATATCACTGCAACACCTGCTGAATCATGGTGAGTGACCCTGTGTGCTCCATAACACCTTACAAACTCACAGCATCACCTTAAACCCACCACCAGGAGCTACTGCTAACTGCAATGGTAATCTGATCAGTGGTGACATTTCTGTCTGTGTCCTACATTATGCAACTCAACAACTGCAATTAATTCCACAGCTACCTGGGGAACCTACCTGGCGTTTCTGAGCTTTGAGCCCTGCTTTGGGTTTGTTACGTAGTTTCACTCATGAGCACTGATGTGATTAATGTGGATACTTTTAAAGGAGAAGCTTGCTAAACAAATGCTGCGCATTCTGAACATTTAGTCAGGATTTCAGAAAGTGACTCAATTTTAGATACCACTGACATGGATAACCTAAAACAGCCAGAGACAAAAAGAATCCCCCACTTGCCCTACTGTTATTCATGCGATCTTGCATCCACTTCCTTCTGAGGTTCTGTTGGGTAAACAAATAGTTATGAGATACCAACAAACTACAGTAGTGACAAAGGCACTGCACTCCCAGCCTCTCACGTGGGTCACTCATAGCCCTGATCTCCTCCAAACGATGCCTAAACCACCCCTAGGTGACATAAGGGTTGCAAAGCCCAGTCCTTACCTTCTCCTGGTACTGACGCCGTGAGGAGTCCAGAGACTGGATTAGGGCTGTGGCATGGCCGATGAACATGGCATAGCAGGTGGCACCGACAATCATGCTCAGCATAGTGAGCCATACATCAGACATGCCAACGGGTGCCTGCTGCCCATACCCAATGCAGAGCATGTGACTCATTGCCTTGAACAGCGCATAGGAATACTGCTTCCCCCAGGAGTCATTCTAAAGAGACAGATAGACAGACAAAGCTTTAGCAGTGGGACAAGACATTCACTGAGATGAACACATTTCAGAAAACGATACCTAACGTTAGACTCAAAGTCCATATTTAAAGCACCTCTATGTTTTAAACAAACGATGTGATGGCTTAGAAGTGTTGGGCACACTGGATATACATACAAACCCTACATTTAGTCATCTGATAGTAGCTGACTTTGGTCAGGGCTTTTACAGATTCCATGCATTCTTTCCAGCACAGCTTTCAGAAAGAAATCCTGACTGATGCTTTCCTAACCTGGGATACACAGATGATGCACTGCAATGTGTTCAAAATGACCCACGTGTGGGAAAAGGTGATGCAAATGGTCACTGCACTGAGAAATGGATTTTTCAAAGAACTGCTAGAAGAGAGCCTGAGCAAGCCTTCCAGCAGTGAGGTCTTAAAGCAAGAAAAATCATTTACTCCCCATGTCTGGGTCTCTGGTCATTACCTGAAGAGAGGGGAGGGCAGAAAATTAAGATGATAATGGCAGAGAGTTCTTTGCAGGGTCAAACTGGGCCTCTTCAGGGAGCTGAACAAACTAGAAAAGGCTTCATTTGAGAGATGAAATAAACCACAGTGAGAAGCCAGCTGAAGTCAATGGCTTCCTTCAGACATGCTGTGCTCTCCCACCACAATGAACAGCAGAAGCACCTCAGTGATTACATCATGCAAAAGGGAAAAAAACAGAACATAAGTTTCAGGACTACTCTGATTAGTTTGAGCTCATGGAACAGCACAAGGTACATTCACTATCTTGTGGGTATTATATGCTAGCAAGTCCTTGCCACAAAACCTTGTAAAGTAAATGCAACTGTCATCACACACTGCTATTACAAGACGTGTGAAAAAATACCACTGCTACGGTGATATTCATTGCAGCACATAATCTGTACATTCATCAGTCTTCTTCCTGTTCCTAGGATGGTGCTGGATATACGCTTGGATATAGCAGTGCAGATACATACAGCACAGCAACTCAGAAGGTCGTTGTGCAGAAGACCTGGTTTGGGGCTCATCAGATAGGTGAGCAATACTTCTGTGAACTCCATTCAGAGAGACACAGCAGGCTCAGCATGGTGACCTGCAATGCGGGAAGCCCTGGAGTTTACTGGATGCCTCCCTGGAGGGATCTTATCACAATCCGGTGGATGGCTGATGACCTGTCTACAAAAACCAGCTCTCTGGGTGTCACTAATGTTGATGGAAATTTTTCAGTAAGCTGACAAGTAGTAAACAGAACCAAAGAGCACTGTTAATGTTTGTGAGCTGTGGCAAAGAGCTGGAACCTCTGGTCGGTGTTAATGCTTGCGTGGGAGATAAGCACGTGGACGAAGACAGGAGACAGTGTTACCTTAGCCATATCCAGTTACATTATGCAAGCGGGCCTGATTCACACTGCAACAAGAAGGGCAAAGCAACAGAAGTGACAGCAAAGCGGACACAGAAGCAGCAGCACATCCAGGGTCCCAGGGGGGACGGCTCCCTACTGGCGCCAGCCTGTCTGGGCTCACCTCCCTAACAAAGCAGGAGCCAGCTCACCTCCTGCACTGGAAAAATCTCCCCCTGAGCCCACAGAAAAGATAACGTGGCCTTTGGGTCTCTATTCCTGGGACTGCAGATGGCCTGCCCCTGTGTGTGACAAAAGCTGCAGCCCAAAGGGGGAGTCAGCTACAGGAGAAGGCAAAGAACACCGGTACTCTGATGCCTACACAGGGCTGAATGCAGCTCCCTGAGAGAAGCCTGACAAGGCAAGCAGAAGAGTCAATCCCAGCACCAAACACAAACTGAGAAAAGCAGCAATCCACCACACAGTGGTTAAGCATGCCCCAGCCTGCCTTTCTATTACAGAGCCAATAGGTAAGTCTGGCAAAGACAGAGGTGTGTACTTGGCTTGATGGAGAGGAGTGTGATTTCTTCTCCTCTTGCCCTCTCAGGCCAGTTCTACTTCTTAGCCAGAAGGTTCTCAAAACAAATACCTTTCCCATGGTACCGTGGAAATGCTGCTGCCTTCTGAGTTCAGTGTGGCAGTAGTTTAACAGGGCAGCACATCTCTGTAACAGAATTGAGGGCAGGGAGAAAAGAAATGCTGAAATTCCAAAGGGAATCTGGGAAGACAGAAAAAGATCAGCTGAGCTGGTTGCTCAGACATCAGGAACCTGGCTGCCAGGGTTTTTCATGACTGTGAATGATCAAAGAGCAGAGTCTGGGCATCAATCAGGTTCAAGTGTTGAGAGTCATTCTAGCAACTTGCTGTTCAGGAGCAGGCAAGTCACTAAACCACTCTGGATTTGGTTCCCGCCTGTGTAAGCAAGAGCCAACAGTTCCCAATAAACTTTTGGGTGTAGGAGGCTTGCAATGTAGAAATTAGTCATCCAAACCCATGATGTCCAATACCAACAAGCCCCAGCAGCCTGCAGAAACACTTCCAGCTCCCTGAGAACTCTGTAGTTATGAGCAATGACCTCAGTTTCCATCAGCATCATGGCTCCCTGCGAGGACAGCCTGCTTTGTGCCAGGCTGAGTAATGACAGGCTGAGAACTGGAGAAAACACAGGGTGCTTACAATGGTCCTGAGCAGCTTGGCCTGCCGGGAGGAGAGATCAAGGACTGCTAAAACAGAGGTAATTCCATGAAAGAAGAACCTTCCAAAGCAGTTACCTTTAGGACACAACCTCTAAGCATCTGTAAGGAGCACTGGATCCTCACAGCACAGTCTTTGAGATTACTCTTTCCTTAGAAGTCTGAGTATATCTTTATTTTTCAAACCTACTCTACACCCTTTCGTTTCCCACAGAATAAACAGGCAGGCCAAGAATGCAATACTGAGAAGCAGCATTGGTTCCAAACGTGGTCACAAGCTTATCAGCATCACAGTGCCCTGTACTGATACAGCTTGCCCCTATACCAAACCAGCCCCTGTAGTGGAGGACTATACTACAAATACACCCTAGTGGCTAAAATGATCCATTAAGGTAGATAAATGAGGCCCTCAAACTGCAGAAAGAACATGGCTCCTCCTTAACCAAATCTCAAAGCAAGCTAAAATGGAGCCATAGATCTGTGCTTGAACATCGTCAAGAGGGATGTTATCTCCAGCGCACGCCAGGCACTGTGAGCATTTGCGAATGGGAATTAAAATTGCTTTGAAGTGGTTTCTCAAACTAGCTTGTTTTTAACACCCACACTGGCAGGACTATAACGGTTTCTTCGGGATTAAGTGTCTGGACTTCAATGCCTCTGCTCGTATCTCCACTCTTGAATACTTGGAAGCACACTGCTGAAACTCTTCAAAGGCAGCGTTGGAATCGGCAGTACCTTAGAGAAGCACCTAAAGAAACAGGACAGGGTCTCACAGGATTTTGCTTGATCAGAGGAACATGTGAGTGCATCTGGCTGAACCCCCACCAGACAGGACTAAGGAGAGCAGCAGAAAACCTGGAAAGTACTGGTAAATTCTTGGTGAGGAGGCACAATCCATGGGCACACCATTATGCCTGCATATACACCACTACCATTTCTAAGTTTTAAGAGCCTGTCTGTAGTGAAAGAGTATTTTACTCAGCAACCAACCCCCTTCCACATATAATCCTAGTCAGATGAGCTGCAGTTTACAGGCAGTTCAGACCTGAGACCATCAGCCCAGACAAACAGGGCTCGAGTACACTTTGTGAACTCCCACATTTGGCTCAGCAATGATCTTACGTGCCCTCAGAGCAAACTCCGTGTTTGCTGCTGCACGCCATTGTGCTGTTCTGCAGGATGAAGGCCTCTGAGCATCACTGCCCTCCCCTGGACAGCACCACAAGTGCTAGGCAGGGAAAACACCTTCAGATGGGGTTTAGAGGACAGCAGCAGTGGGACCAGAAATTAAGATGATGGGACAGACTTCATATTGGATAGCACCTGCCTGTTCTGGGCTTATTTCCAGGGTGAGCTTTTGCATGGCCTTCACTTTATAGAAGATTTTCTCAGGACTTTGAGTGCACCAGAAAATCTTCATTGCCCCAGGTCTCTGTGGGATCCCCTTTCATGACCCCAGTGTTCTCCGCCCAGTCACTCAGTCCTTGTCTGAGCCTTGTCAGGGCTGTACGCCTGCCCAGCCCCAAACCCTAGCAGGCCTTGAATTTTGCTATAGCCTCTGGTCCCTTATCTTGCTGCTCCTAACTGGACTCTGTGGATGGATGCTGGATGTTATGGTTATCACCCTGCCTTCTCTGGAATAGTCAATGGACCCTTTAATCACCAATTCTGCTCTGCCTACCCTCTTTAGGTCCAGCTGCTCAGGGCACTGTGCTGGACTCACCCTTGCTTCCTGGCTTGTACACTATCGTGGAGCAGCCCTACCCTTGCAGCTGCTCCCTGACAGATTCTATAAAACATGAACAGCTACTGCACAGCTTCATAAGCCTACCGAGTGAGAGTGTGAGGGAGCTGCTGGACCTGAGGCTTGGAGGGAGTTGGGAATCACCCAGAAGATCATGCCAGACCGTTCTGTCTTCCGCCCTACATGCTGCACCAACTTCTCTTCCTACTTTCCATCAGCAACACCAAAAAATGTGTCATGGGTTGGGGGCGGTATGCTCAAAGGGGGAGCTACTCTCCTTCTGGCAGAAGAGAAGATGATTAGTATTTCCTATGCAAGGTCGCCGCATTTGACATGGGGATATTTGCCTTCCCCGCTGAGTTTATCAGTTCAGCACAACACCCAGGAGAGCAAGCCACGTGTTTCCAGCAGCTTTCAGGTCTCAGCAGAGCTCAGATTTCTCCGACGAGGAGCTGCCAGGCAAGGGTCATCGTGGGGAGATGCTGCTGCCTGCACATATGCCTCCCTGGAGCTGACTCACAAGCGTTTCCCTTTTTAATAAAGTGCCCTGTAGGGAAGCTAGCGCCAAAGCCCCTGAGATTGGGGCTGAGCAATTAATACCAAAAACATCCATTCCTGCCATTTCAGAGACAGTTCAGAAAGAAGAAAAAGATAGTCATTCCTACAATTGCTGAAGATGAAGGATGGAATGCAGAGAAAATAACAAGATGAACCGGACCCAGGGATTTATCGAGCCCCTGATATGGTTTTGGCAACATCAGATGCTTCACAGATCCCCTGGAAGAGGATCAAACCTTTAGAAAGCAGATGGGAGGTGATGAATCTTCTTTTCCCACTGCATCGGAGTCAGAGCTGTTTTATGGACTGCCAAGCAGCTAGGTGGGAAACTGGCAAGGGAGTTAGGAGGAGAAAGCCCACAAAGCATTTGGCATCTCTTGTTCACCTCCCCTCGGATGCAGCAGCTTCACAACTCATTTTTTTTTAACCTACAGTGGTAAGCTGTTTGGTTCTTGCATGCAATCATGGCAGTTGTGCACCAAGAATACTTCTCCCATCACAGCTGTGACCAGGTCAGAACTAAAAGACCCCAAATCCAACTTACCAACTGGCACCAACAGAAGCCATGCTGACTTCCCACTCACGCCCATCACATCTCACACAAAGCCATTCTGCAAACCAACACCACTGCACCAAAGCCTGAGGACAGCCCTGGTTTATTGCTGTTTAATGCTGTTTCCTGACTCTCCCATTACTTCACAATGGACTATGTGGAAATTGTTGCACTAATTACGCCGTCCACTTCCATCTCTAGTCAAGAGGCCACCACATTTGGAAGTCTTCTCAGGAGATAAGAGAACAGAACCTTATTGTGAGAAGAAACTCTCTGATTCCATATATACTTTTTTAAAATGTTCTTAAGTTATTTTGGGGCTGGCATTTTCCGGAACAACTTTGGAATAGAAGCCACCTAAATGATAGGTGGAACGCATAACCATCTCTCCAGTTCTTCATCCCATTTTCCTGAGATTCTGTTTCTGAGGCAGTCACTGAGATCATCACTTTTTTCACTTTTATGAAGTGAAAAAAATTAAGGTGACTTAGCTGCAGACGAGAAGCTCAGGAAAAAAAAAAAAAATCACACAAGGCAAATTTAATTCCCAGCTTCACAGGATGGGAAGACAAGTACTGCAGCACAAGTACTTGCCTGGCATAGTCCTGCTCTGAATAGAAAGTTTCTATCCTGCCTCCTGGAGATTCTGCTGAGCACTCTGCATCCTTCCCCCTCCGTCCTCAGACTTGCAGCTAAGAAAGGTGCACAGGCTAAGCAGTAAGAATATGAGGTGGTAATCCTTTGTTGTGGTTGTCACCCAGGCTTTCAATGCACAAAAGCATATGCTCAATGATCATTTGGTTAGTGAGCAGTTTTTCAGCCAGAAGACTGGACCAAGTAAGTGGAAAGAGGAGGAATTATTAGGGTCTAGTACACAAGAAATAAGGAAACATGGCTCAAATCTGCTGCTCCAAAACTGTTGTGCAAGGACTCCACGGCCAAGTCACTTCATCTGATGGGGATGATTTGTCTGCAGCTCTGAGCTCTCCAGGACAAGGAGCCGTATGTCCTTTTGAACCCAAATAGCACAAGCACAATGGGGCCCTGATCTTTCATTGCTCCTGTCATATAAATAATAAAAAAGCAGCACAGGGAAGACAGGGCAGCTGCTGCATGGGTTGTTCTTCTGATGCAGATAAATAAAGGGCTGTAGTCTCCAGAACTGTCAGTCTGACACCTTTCAACAGCAGGAAACGAACGATTATTGCAGAGGGAAGAAATACACAAACAACCCCCCAAACAGAGGACTTCTGACAGCTGCTCACTCATCTCAGGCAGGGGCAGCATGGGCCCACAGCTCTGCATGTGGAAGCCATGGAAGCTGGCAGTTCTTATATACATTTTGCATTGGTTCTGTTCTGCCCAAGTGCCTGATATTATTATTATTATTTTTTTAAAGAAGAAATTGGCTGGGGGAATCTAGAGGTTAAGAGCTGCAATAAGAGGCAATTTTCTAAGCTTTGTCAGTTTTTGCTGCTTAATCAACTGGACATTGTCCCTTTGAATAAAAGATCCTGAATTCTCAGTGAGATGGCTGCAAAGTACCATGAAATCCCTGCGCACGTACCATATGGTATAAATCTCCCTCACAGCAACAGTGCACAGCTTGGGACCTCACTGGGAAGTCTGGCCATTGCTCCTACAAGGGGAGGCCGAACCGTGGCATGGCAGTCTGCTTCAGCCCACTTCATTGCAATACTGATCACACTCATCCTTCAAGTGGATATGGAGCAGCTGGCTGAGCAGTTTCCTTGAGGCCAGCCATGGGAATTAGCACCTTATGGATCAGACCCAGCCAGGGCTCCAGGACCCCCATTTGGCTCAATATGCCCAGATCTCAGTGGAAAGACACCTTAACTCTTGCTCTTTGCTGTCTCCTGCCAGGAGGGGGAGCCTGGCTCTTGCCTTCTGCTGCAGGGGCTCTGTTGCCTGGTTTCTACTCTGCAGTCCTGTTGTTGAAATTGTCCCCAGGGAGTCCCCGTGCCCAAAGTGGCTTTACCAATGCCTGCTGGATAGCGGAGAAAGGCCCTAAAAGGATGCGGCAGAAGATGGGGAACTGAAAGGTGATGCTGTGAGCAGTGGCTTGGGGATACAAGGGGCAAGCACTTACCACCATGCGGTTGAGGGATACCCAGCAATCATCAGGGAAGTCCTGCAGCATAGGTACGAGGAACTGGAGGCAGCCATCCCAGTGACACAGCAGCAGCATCATCCCAATCAGGTTCACAATCCGCACAACTGCACTGGCCAGATCGTAGGTCATGTGGAAGATCTGCAGGGACAACCAGGAGCAGATTAGATGGCAGCTCCCCAACCAACCCAGCAAAATTAGATGCAGTATCAGGGTCAAGAGCCTTGCTAACATAACAGGAAAGGCTGCATCAGCCCAGCTCAGGTCAGTCACTGTATGTGAGCAGAACCAGCTGAAAAACAGATTAAAAACCAAAATACAAAATTGTATTCACTCACCCCTCTTGCCCTTTGATTTCTGCCTTCAATTTACATTGAAGGCTCCATAACTCCTCTTACAGAAGATATTGGTTACAAATATTTCCAGAACATCAGCCACGCCTCAGAAATAAACTCCATCATAACATCTTTTTAACCGCAGTGACCTTCTTTGATTTCTGCTCCTGCTGAATACATGTGATGCACCGACCAATGGCAGAAGTTATCTTTTTACTGGATGTTCAATGCAGTCTCTGGAAGCATCAAATGTAGGAAAGAATGGCCCTCAACTCGGCAGAGGCTTCTAGAAGAGGTTGCAATGCAACTTTTTTTTGTACCAGCTGCTGCATCACTTCAGTGTGACATGAAGGAAAGGAAATGGTGCTTACATGAAGCTGAAGAAATAGAAAAAATGCCAGAGCTATTAGGCAGCTCTTAGCAAGGATACTCAGAAACCTGGCTAAAGGGAATGGCAACCAGAGCTCTGCAGCCAGCTCTCTAGTGCCAAGGCTGTTGACAGCCCTCTTGTCCATAGCACTAGTCAGAAGCAGGACACACTGTGGAAACTGGGTGTTCCATCACCGAAGTCACATTTGCAGTCAGGAATTACTTGATGGATTACTATTTTGGGGGGCGTGTACTGTGGAGACATTGTAAGTGCTTGGCTCCTTTATGCCCAGCTTTGTGATGGCAGCTAGACACACTGGGCATGCCAGCAAGTTCTGTTCTATGCTACATATCTGCCCAGGTTTGGCTTCTCTTACCTTCCAATATGTCACAGTGAGAAGGAGAGCTTGGTTCTGGAGAGCATGGTCACCCTATGTGACTCAGCACAGAGGCCACTTTTCGTCTCTCTTCCCCTTAACACAGTTGATGAAGGGAGCATCTGGATGCAGCCTTGAGGTTCCTGTCAAAAACTCAATGCAGGACAGGCTTTGCCCCATCTGCAGCATCCAGAGCAGATCAACACAGCCATGGACTCAATGTAGCTGCTCTGAGCTGCAGAATCTGATGATTAATGCATGCCTCTACAGGAGAGAGCATCCCCTCCAGTGAAAATGGATTGCAGGGACACACAAAGAAGACAGCTCGATCACCCACCACGAGGCAAATGCTCTCACTTCAACATCACCCTGAAAACAGAGACCCCAACACACCTGACATTCTCTCCCATGTGGCAAATCAAAGAAGGATGGAGGCCTGACAGCCACATTCCATGGCTTCCTGCCCTAGAGCTCTGCCTGGAGAAATGGTAATCACTGCTCCCCTCACACAGCAATGCTGCTGCTGCTGCTGGAGGAATGAAATATGTGGACAGCTGTGTGTGAATGAAGCAGACAGGCTCACGGCTGTCAGCTGGGTCATCTCCAGAGACCTCCCCATGGTTTGAAAGCACACGCAGCCTGGCTGCTTTGCATCTTAGCCTGCAATCTGGTAACACAGTGTCTTAGTTGGATTTAATAGAAGGAAACAAAAAGCAGAGGAATGTGGGGAATAAACACGACTACTGCGAACCAGATGAGGCTGCACAGCCCAGCCCCATTGCCACGTCTCCATCCTTACCTAAACCGGTGACCAAAACTGCAGGGAGAAGCGTGCCAGCACTTCCTGAGAGCTGAACAACTCCAGAGCCCCTGTGCAGAAAGGTGGCCACATTCAGTGGGTGGCTCAGCTGCTGAGAATCACCTCTGCAGGGGAAAGTGATTACCGAGAGGCTGCCCGTGCGTCAGGGAAGTATCTGAAGTGGGTGATCTGGCCACAGGGATGCTATGTGCCTGCATAGCTAGCTGTAACCATGTAACTGCTTGCTGCTCTTAACCGAGTGGTCTCTGCAGCCACTCCTGCCAATATCAGGGCCCGGCCTCTGCTCCCACAGTGAATCAGTTCAAGCAGCTAAGAAGGCAAAAAGCTGGTGTTATGAAGGAATGCTTATCAGTTTAGCTCCCTAAATTGGCTCATTGCTTTGTTGTCAGAGCTAGCTGTTCAATTTCAATGCTTGTTTCCACACCAGACATTAACACTCCTCTACCTAATCAAGATGCCATGAAGTTGTATGCATTAGAAGCTGACGTGCTCAGTCCTGACCAGGAGGGAGTCACAGAAGAATGCTGGGAACCAGAATGATGAATGCTGTGGATAACAGCTTCTAAACCCCATTATTTCCACTGCATCCAAGGTGCAGCTGGAGTCCACAGTGTCCCTTAGCATGAGAAAGGCCATTCTAATGATATTTCTGAGCTGAAAAGAAGAAAATATCCAAAATCCAGCATGAAAGGCTGTTCTAAGAAATCCGACTCTCAGTGCTGACTCAATAGGTCAGTATGAAAGCTGAACACATAATTCATAAAAAATAATTTCTACTGGTTTCACCTTTTTTTTTTTTTCCCCCCAATCACAGAAACAATCATTCTCACTTAGATAACCCAAGGTGAATCCAGCCTATTTGAGTGACAGCCACGGGCTAGGCTTATAATGAAGCCAGAGCAGCAGTTTGCAGATGGATTGCCCAGCAGATCTTATGCATTATCAGGGTTTTACTGTGCCAGCGACTTCTCCTCTCCCATCTATGCACAGTTTTCAATGATTTCCAACACTCCCATAGCCCAGGGAACTCCAGCCAGGGACAAGCAGAGACCCTATCAGGTTTAGGAAGTGCCTTTCTCCCTTTGCTATATTATCAGTAGTGAAATGGATGCTATAGAGGAAACATAGACGGAAATGGAGCTTATTCTATGCTTGGGATGTATTCTGATCAGGCTAGGGCAGCAAGCCTTTATTCTACTGCATCAACAAAGGTGCTCTGCTTCTGCCATGTGGTCCTGCTGCCTCCTCTCAAACACTAAAGGGTGAACTCAGCTCACCTGCTGTGGGACTGGAGATTGAAACACACCTCCTGAAGGCAAGACACCTGGCTTGCAGCATTTGTGGACCTGAGAAGGGGAAGCAGCACACCTCAGAAGTCCTGCTTCTCTCTGCTACCTATAAAGTGAGCTGGCTAATGAACGCCAGCTGTAAACATCTAAACCACGGGTGACACAAATCCCATTTCAAATGTCAGTCACAGGAGCTACCAGCTCATTCCTACTCCTTGAAATAGATTTGCATTCACCTGCAAGAGAAAAATAGGAAGCACTCGTCCTACATCATATAGGAATAACTGTGCAGGAGTAGAATGAACACCTTTCCACTGAGAAGTTCCTGCTGTAAATAGATCCCCATACAGCAGGGAATACTAAATCCAGGAATGTGCTGCAGAGGGTCTCAGCCAGGGCTGCAGTGCAATCTATAAGCAATCTACAGCTCACCAGGGAGAGATGGGAGAAACATTCTAGAATGGTTGAACCAGAAGCAAAGGAATATGAGTGGTAATTGGTACTTCTCTGCTTTTCCTCATTAACACTCAGGGCTTTATTGTCCTGTCATATCATAACCCCAGCTGGGTCCCAGGGCATCACTCCTCCTTCCCTGGAACTGCTGGTGCTTTCCAGCTTTCAGCTGTTTGTGATTTGGAAAAAGAGGGTGAGGAGGAGGAGAAGGAGGAGAAGAAGGAGGAGGAAGCACGGATTCAAGTTTAGAAGCACCTGCTTCCAAGGGCTTTTTCTGATAGAGCCAATAGTTCTGTTACTTGGTTATCCAAAACAAACAGAATCTCTGCTATAAAGGTGGCTTTGTGCCTCTGGCCCAAGGGCTCCTTGCAGCACTTGCTAAAAGGACAGCTTGGGAAAAGTGGAAGGACCAAAAACTTTCCTCAACAAAATCATCTCTAGGCTCCATCATGAAAATCCAGCTTATACTGTACAAGCAACCTATCAGCATCCTAAGAGTATGAATCTGAAATCCTGTCAGCCCCAAATAACTGTGCAGCATTCCTCACTTGGCTCTGTAATGCAATGCGATTCCTCTGTCCTGAACATTTGAGCTGGAAGAAATCAAAGACACCTCAGAGAGATGGGAATCTGGCTCTAGCAGTGACACAAGGGCTTTGAGTCAAGTCAAAGTTGTACATTTGATCGTTGCATGTTGGCACATAACTCACTGTGGCTATCCAAACCAACAGTCAATAGAATTTCTTAGTTCCCTGAAAGCAACATTGCATCAGTGTGCCTGTCTGTTTCAGGTCTGCAGCTGCAGGTCCCTGTTGGCTCTGCACATACTGGAGATGCTGTGTGTGAAACAAAAGGGTTTTCCTGTGGGCCTGGGGACTGCCATGCAGAGGTGTAGCAATGATTCTGTTCAGAGCCAGCGTGGCTGAGCTGGAGCTAGACACCCTGCCAGACACAGCTAGCAGCAGGCACCGTCACTCAGCTGAATGCTGGCTCTGCACAGAGCTGCCTTGCATCCACCAGCCTTACAAACAGATTCTGCGCCACAGGAGAGCAGTGAAACTGCTTGTTACCTTTCACTACCTCTACAGGCAATATAGCAGGATTTCTGTAGCACTGCATCCAAACTAAGAAAGCCTGCTGGTCCCAAGCCAGTTCTGGTGTCTGCAGCCACACCACAGATAATGCAAACTGTGATAAATCCCTAGTGGGTAATCAAGTACTTGTGACAGTGCTCCAGCTTCATGGAAAGCAAAGAACCTACACTTTAATTTATGGCTTAAAAATCAAAAGACCTTAAAAAATCTCAAAGGAGAACTAAAACAGTATCATCTACTATTCTGAGTATGCTAGGGGGCAGAGTTAAGGTTGTTCTGTTATGAGGAAATATGCATTTCCACTCACACTAAGACTCCTTGTGGACTCTACAGAAGCAAGTTGAGATGTCTTTTATTCTTCTTTCCTGTGCTTGACTTTTGTATGTAACAGAGGTGAAGATGCA